GTTTTTTGTATTTTTCGTATTTTTCGTATTTTTTGTCTTTTCTCATTTTCTTGTGTCGAATTGGTTTTTCCGGGTTGATCAAAAATTTGCTACATGCCTATTGGTTGCGCAGAATTTTTGGTTGGATCGGATCAATATCGTAACTTTTTTTTGACATTGATACTTACATCAGATCGCGCTTTATGTGATTATTTTTGGTCAACATTAATCTATTTACCAATATTATTAATTTTAACTTTAGTAAAACTTATATCCTAATTTGAATCAAGTGTGATTTGACGCAAATATTGGTTTCAAACACAACATATAGTGTAGGATATTTAAATACATTACAAAAAATAAAAATAATAACTAAAAATAGAATAATTTATATTTGTTAAATCTTTTTAAAATTTAATAATTAGTATATTAAAAAATAAAATTATAAAAGAATATTATAAAAATTTATTTTTTTTATATAGTTATTTTGATTTAAAGTTGAACAACTTTATTAATAGTTCAGTGCCAGATCTCTTTCTAATTCATTTTTAATTCTCTTTTAATTTATAGATTTTCTTAGTTTTTGAAATTTACATAATATTTTGATCAAGAAAATATATATAATAATATAAATAGCCTAACTTAATTTAATTAAATTAAAAATTGAATAACTTTTTTAATTTATAAAAGAAAAGTTTATTTGACATAGATCAAAAAAAGCAGAAAATTATTAATTTATCAAAAAATATGTTACTTAATTAGAAATCTAATAAATTTCAATCTTAAATTTGACAAATAATATTTCTGATACTTTAATTATAAATTAATTTAATTGTTTTGTCTGTATTTTTTTATTTATTATTTAAAATAATTTTGTACTATAACTAGAAGTTTGTATAAGAATTTAATTGTTATAAATTAATAAAAATTCCTGTATATATATATATAATATTAATCGGATATTTTAACGGACCTATTTCAGATCACATGACAGTAACTTTTTTTTGCCGTGGCTGGATTTACTAATTTTCACCCGAAGTTGTGATTGGATACAAGTAATTTCCATCGCTGATTGGTTGACTGCACATAGGGTCTTCTAAATCAACCAATAAAGATGCATAAATTTTTGATCAACCCGGCAAAAAAAATCCGAAATATACAGAAAACGAATGCTTAAATCTGCCTTGAAGCACTAATAAAAATGTCGGGGAAGCAATTTTACATATAATCTTTTCTCCACTCCTAACCCTTGATCCTAACGCTAAAACTAACCTTTAATATCCTCAGCCAATCAGAAAATCAGTAAATGCGCCGTGGCTAGGGTACTAGATCTCAGGCACAAGATATATATTGGATGGTTGGAATCATGTGACAGTCACTTTTTTTCGCCGCGGCTAGGGCCGCAGTGTTGTCACTTGGACATAAATCCAGCAATTTGATTGGTCAGGACACTTGTCCCAACCAATTAAATTGCTGGATTTACGTCCAAGCGATAACGCTGGGCTAGGGTATTGAATTCGAATTGTATTTAAAAAACAAAATTCTTTACAAAAGTTATGGATTCCAAATTTGGTTTCTTATATTTTTTACAAACTAATTGATACATATTACTCTAGTTCTTTTGGATGTAAGAGCTGCGATCAGCCATAATTGCATGATCTTTGATGTTCTATCCAACAAAGAATGTTACTATCAGATTTTTACGGGACCCTGGATGAAAAGATTAATTAAAAGAACCGTTTTTAGTGTACAAGGTCATACAAGACTAAATTTATGTGGCTTCATGCAAAATGTTTCACGAGTTGTAAAGGCTGTGCACCTGTGTAAATCATCTTCAAAATAATATTGGATAACTCCGGAGAATGCAAAAATTACTTGCTGGATCATCGAAATATTGTTTAACCGCGAAACAACTAAGCTTAAAAGGTTATAATTTAGTAAGCGATAAATCCGTAAACTTTAGTTTCCCATAAATATATACACATTATCGTTATTATTGTTATTACTAAGGTGGTTTAGACTAGTGTTGGATACTTGTACTTTGTACTTTTCCCTTTTTCTATACCTTCTTCACTTCCTTTGTAGGAGGTGTTAGGCTTCAATATGGAACGAGATACACTTGCTCTATATAATACATTGGGAATACGAAAGGCCGCTACTGAGGAAGAAATTAAAAAGGCATATCGACGCCTAGCTTTAAGATACCACCCGGATAAAAACCCTAATGCCGCTGACGAGGTATGCTTAAAAGATTTTCAAGCATCTCATATCCTAATATAATTGAGTGTTGCACACCGATTTCTTGACAACTCAATAATATTGATTTTTTAAGCATGACGTAATAAGCTTCTCACATTTCTCTACAAACACATTTATTATTTTCAATATTATAGTTCAAGTCAATAAATCATGCCTACGAAATTCTCAGCGATCCAAAAAAACGTTCAGTATATGACAAATATGGAGAAATGGGAATCCAGATGCTTGACTCAGTGGCTGGCTTTCTATTTGATCCGGAGGTCGAAGGACTATTATGCATGCTTTTTACTATCCTATCTGGAATGATTTTACTGCTCGTATTATTCCTCTCATTCCTTTCGGTACGAATAGATAATAAAGTGCAATGGAATTTCGGGGTTGTATTTATACCAGTCTGGATAGTGGATATTTTGATATTTATCGTGTTAGTTATACATGCAAAAAAGGATCCATTTGAAGATGAGGATATCGAAGAAGAAGATGATGTTGAAGCACTTTATCCTGAAGATCCAGAATCTAGAGAAAGATATAAAGAAATGAAAAGAAGGAGAAATCGAAATTTGCATCGAATTCGAAATTTATTTTCAATTGGATATTTATTGCTGGTTTTCTTATTTCAACTTTTTATTGTACTTCGGGCTGACGAGACAGTAAAATGGTCGGCAGCCATTGTATTTATACCGTATTTTATCGTCGAAGCAATACATCTTTATCCTAATATCATTGAGTATCTCACTATATTACGAACATCGAAAGTTTACGATGAAGAGGGAAATCCTTCGCTTAAAGCAAAATTAAGACTTTTCTTTGATACATTCTGGTGGTCGAGTATACGCATTGTTTTATCCATTCTAGTAGTGCTGAAAATTGATGGAATAATCAAAGGTAGCTGGGGTGCAGTATTCATTCCTATATATTTGGTGGGAGCTCGATACGGACTTGGAATAATTCAAGAATATATAGCGACCAGCAGAGCTGAACCATTACAAAATCGAGGAAAATTGGACACTATTCTAAAAGCGATTGGTTTCTTAATAGTAGGATCATTATTCTATACATTGGTGGGATTACTAGCGGCGAGATTGGATGGACATACAGGCATAAAAATATCCTCGGTCTTAATACCAGTATTCATAACATTATCAATACTGTTTTGTTGCACTGGTTGTTGCTTACCTTGTGCACTGGTAAATTGGAATGTAGGGGATGATCTAGAGGGAACCAATCAACTCATCCCAATTTCTCCAAATCGACGAATTACTTATCCTCTCGAAACAGCTGGACCAAGTCAAATTAATCATGAAAGTTCTACTACGATACCAACAACAACAGAATATCAATATGTCAACCCTCAGGCGTAATTAAATCAATAGATGTTGTATAGCGTTTTTTTTTCTCTTCTTTCATCAATGTCCGCAAAATTTACTTTTTCATACGCATGTAGATATTAACAGTATTATTGCATAAACAATTTTTAAAATAATAACAATATTAGATCCCAAACAAATACATACTGTATACTATCATAACTTGCAAAACATCATTTATTTTATCTCCAAGTTTTTGATTTTTTTGGGAAAATCAATTGAAAAAACAACGAACAAATAGTTATTTAGTCTCGAGATTTCAAGATTTCGAAAAAAAATCAAATCTGTATTAGTATTCGTAAGAATAAAACAAAGCAAAAGTGAATAATCTTTCATTTTCTTCCTTTTGGTTTTCTGTATAATAATTGTGGCGGATTAAAATGAAATCAGATTAAAACGAAACAGAGTGTGATGTTTAAATAATCATAGGTCAATATATTACCGATTTTAATGCTATACTCTATGTTCTAACCTAACCCTTCTCTGAAATTTATATCACATAAAAAAGAGCCAAATTTTATTTTGATTTAATTTTATTTCATTTTAATCTGTCACAATAATTAAGAATTAATAATAAAAAACTTACCTCGTCGATTTAACGGAATCAGGATAAGACTATCGTTATCTGTATAATTACAAATTACGTAGATATACCCTCATCTGCAAATTATATCTTAATTTGATAATCTAACATGGATTCTTAGATCAACGAAAACAAAACCGGATTTTGGACACAATTAAGCCGTCATTCTAACAGTTCGAAACCCTTCTCTAAAAAAATTTTTTTCTCGATCTACTTTCTCATTTACTTGCTTACTCTTTTTATTCTTTTTATTCTTTTTATTTGACATTTTGCCGACATTCTATTAAAAAAAATAAATACAAGAAAAACTTTTTACCAATTCTCTTTAATAAACCTCTCCGTCTCTTTTTTGTACCCTCTGGGCACACACCCATTTCATCTTTTAGCACTTTTCCCGCGTTCGGAAAGGTGCACTTCCATCACGGCGCTACAAAACAAAGTAGTCAAGTTAATTATCTTCCGGGGTCATCAGGTATCTTTTTTCTGCTTTACTGGTCATGTATTATCCATATGGAAAAGAAAAATCCCGTTACTAAATATTCTCTGTTGCTACGTATGCAAATTTTCCAGAGGTCACCTCCCTGGCAACCCTGCTCCCTTGGCGTTGCTTGACATTATTACACAAAATCTTACTAGATAGGCTTTGCCCGTGAAATTACCTGCTGTTGTATGTAAATAGTGGTTGGGTGTATTGGCTCTTTCATTAACTGTATATATAAAGCTCTCGCTTTTTTCGTCAATGTCCAGATTTTACGTGGATTCTGCCTGCAACAGCTGATCCTGTCAGAAAAATAATTTGCTCCGTATATCGTTCATTGATCCTACATATTACGTCATTCGATGAAAGCATCCGTTAAACAAATTTGCAATAATGAAACCAACCAATTATGTACAAAATTACTTGTCAATAAACTCACTTTTAATAGTCATTTAACTCGGCAAGAAAAGGATCTGCCACCCATACACACCTTACCAGTTGAGGATGTATTGAAAAACCAGCTTTTGGCTCTAAACAATAATTCGATATCCATCTCTGAAGACTTGAATGATGCTGAAGTGGAAAACGCATTTTTCGTTGCCGATCTTGGTGAAATATTGCGTCAGCATTTACGTTGGAAAGCAACATTGCCTCGTGTTGAACCTCATTATGGTAAAGGTTTAACGATTTATTTATAAAATATTTTCGATATTCTTGAAACTTATAATATTCACTTATTTATTAATATTCAGCGGTTAAATGCAATCCAGATCCTATGATTCTTCAGCTTTTGGCGGCTCTGGGTACAGGTTTTGATTGTGCTAGTAAAGCAGAAATACAGTCTGTTCTAGATCTCGGTGTAGATCCTTCAAGAATTATTTATGCGAATCCCTGCAAACAAGCGTCCTTTATTCGTTATGCCGCTGACAAAAATGTCAAGATGATGACATTTGACAATGCCGAAGAGTTGCATAAGATTAAACGCTATTTTCCGCAAGCACAACTTGTTCTTCGTATTCTCGCTGATGACTCAAAATCTTTGTGTCAATTGGGGCTCAAATTTGGAGCTTCACTGGATTCCACCTCTGATCTTTTGAGAACTGCTCGGGAATTAGGATTGAACGTGATTGGTGTTAGGTACAACTATTTTGTTTTAAGATTACATTAATGAACTTATTTCACTTACATATTAATTTTTTACAGCTTCCATGTTGGCAGTGGTTGCTTCGATGAGAATGCTTTTGCTGATGCTGTCTATCGTGCAAAATGCGTATTTGATCAAGCTTCCGAACTCGGCTTTGATTTTCAATTGTTGGACGTTGGTGGCGGATTTTCGCACGAGCATTTCAGTGATGGGATCACTTTTGAAAAGATCGCAGCTGTCCTTGGTCCTGCTATTGACAAATATTTCCCACCGAACATTCGAATTATTGCTGAACCTGGTCGTTATTATGCAGCTCCTGCCTTTACCATTGCCACTCATATTATTGCACGCAGAACCGTCCAACATGACCGCGACGAAACGCAATTTGTAGATATGGAAGGAGTCCTAAATCAAGTACCTTCTGAAGGAGATGTTGAACAGTCGTATATGTGTAAGCATTTTTTCCCTCATATAAGTAATCAATATCAGCATTATCTTATATTAATTTTTTTTTATTAATAATAGATTACATCAATGATGGGATGTATGGAGCATTTAATTGTATTTTATTCGATCATCAAGTTGTTTATCCAAAAGTTTTGATGAAGGGTGACACGTTCCACTTTGGGGTAGACTTGAATGAACCCAAATATACATGCAGCATTTGGGGGCCTACTTGTGATTCTATCGACTGTATTACTAAAAATGGAACTCTTCCCGAACTTTTGCCCGGCGATTGGCTTTATTTCCAAAACATGGGTGCATACACTATATGTGCTGCTTCACAATTCAACGGGTTTCGGAAGAGCAATGTAACTTATACCACTACTGAAGCGTCTGTTCTTGGAATTCTTCAAGGAGCCATTTGATTTTTAAATTCGATTTTTTTAGTAATAAAAAATAGATATATTATTATTATTATTATTATTATTTATTATAATATTTATGAATCCTGATTCTTTTGATCCTTGACCAATTTAATCTTAATCGTGACCGAAACTCAAAATACGCGACGCGGTGCTGTCAACTTTATATCAATTTTTTTAATTGGAATTGGACATAGTTTATGTCCAATTGAAAATGTAGCGCAGCTTATTATGTTCAATTGGACACTTCTGACTGTACCATATAAAAATATTTGTTAGACATCATCAAATTCGTGTGACTGAAATCAAAAAATTTTAAAATGTTTGTTGGACATTATTAATTTGTGTGACAATTTTCTTTAACGTTCGATTCAAACATGCGGCAACAAAGGTACAATTTTTTGCTCATTATACAATATGGCAGACGAAGCTCGAAAACAAATAGAAACTATCAAAAACTTGACTGACTCGATAGCCTCACAAGGGTTCAATAGCAAATTTTTGAGTCAGAATGCAAAGAAGTACAAGTCAGATTGCGTGTCCTTTGCCAATAGATTGCAAAATATAGGCGTAAAGGGAAAAGAGTTTGTCAAAAAATTAGAGTCTGAAGAACTGGAGGTAGCAATGATTAGATATAACTTGTCAAATGCGATAGAAGCTCTAAAAAATTTTCAAGGTGCTTATCTACACGAATATGTATTTCAAGAGGAATTTTAATGAAATATCGGCTTTAATTGATAATATGATTGATTTATTTTTTTAGGTTTATCCTCTAATATTAACATGTTTATCCTCCAACAACAATCGCCATTAACGCTAAATCGCCCGAATCTTGCAGAAGATTTTCGAATTCAACGACTTTTAGTCGATTATAATAGTCGTTTAGACGACTCGATTGAATGTCTCTCAGTAGCTTTTCACGCAATGCAAATACAGAAACCCTTATCGATTGAAGAACAAGAGAAATTGTTAAGAGGATTAAAAGTTGATATTGAGAAAGAATTGGCCGTTCTTGAAGAAATCAAAAATCAAAAAAATGATAATAATCGAACAAAATGGTTAGAATTAGCGATAGAGCACAATCATTTACGGTCTATTCCTTATGATCAAATTGTTGTTGATAAATTTTTGAAGTGTGGTGGGTATGTATGTAAAAGATAGGCATATGAGTAAATTTCTTTTTCTTAATTGAAATATTATTCGTAGAAATTTATTAATTGAGAAATCTGTAATTAGATTCGGAATAGTATATAAAGCATTATGGGATGACACACCGATCGTTTTAAAGCAGCTTTTTAATCAAACTGATTTTGTCGAAGAAATTCGTCTTCATAAACGTGTACACGATGGCGATTATATTGTGAAATTACATGGGATAACCAGAGATACAGATGGGAATTTGGGAATGATTATGAAATACACCGCTCATGGTGATCTTCGTGATTATTTGAAGATGCATGGGAGCTCATTATCATGGCATCAGAAAATTGTCTTGGCTAAACAAATCACTATAGGTTTATCGTTTATTCACCGAGAGAAAATTATGCATCGGGTATGTGTTTTTATTTAGTACGCACTATTATATTGAATATATGCAAAGCAAATATTAATGATTGATTTTTTTTATTACAGGATTTTCATAGCGTAAGCTACTGAAGAACATCATTTTACTCGTTATTTTACATGTTTTAGTTGAAAATCTCACATGCGCTTTTGTTTATTTAAAAAAGGGAAATATTCTAATCGATGAAAATGGCGGACCAATGATAACTGACTTTGGTCTGTCACGATTGGAAGATATCAAAAAACGGTCCTCTGCTACTTCTCAAGTTTTCGGTCTCATGGCCTATACCGCTCCAGAACGATTAGAAAACTCCAAATATCCTTTCGACGAGCGATGTGATATCTACTCACTCGGCGTGATATTCTGGGAGATTTCAGCGAACCGAAGACCGTTCAATGGGCAGAACGATATTTCTCTCGCGTTGCATTTAATGAAGGGAAAACGCGAAAAATTTACCGAATCTACACCGCCAAAATTCGCTGAATTGGCAATAAGTTGTTGGGCCGAAGACCCAGAGAAGAGGCCTTCCTTGAGCCAGATAAAGCAAACGCTAAATGAAATTTTGGATGATTTACCAAAATCCGAGAATAATAATGATAATTTAAATAATGCCGAGGATCTGGACAAAGATGATCCTTTGGAAGATACAGATCAAGTTGATTATGACGAATATTTTTCTGCCGACTTAGATCCGTCAAATTATATCACTGCGTTAAACAATATTCCGTTTGAAGAAATAAATAATTTGACAATTAACGAGAATTAAGATTTATCTTCATGTTTTTATACTTGACATTAATATATATCGATATAGATCTTTATTAGTTTATCTACTGATCAATAAAAACATAAAAATTTAATATTTGATATAACAGGTTTATCAAATCATTGATCTTAACTTGTAAAACCAATCAAAATTATCGAAAATTTTTTTATTTTTGATTTTTTCCTTCGCACATATGCCTAGTGTGAAAACTGAAATTGGAGGAGCCTCTGACAAAATGGTCGTCGACGTTACTAATAGTAATACCGACTCGCCAAAAAAGAAAAAGTCGAAATCAAATGCTGAAAAAAGTCTGAAGAAAGAGAAAAGGGAAAAAGAAAAACTCAGCGAAAACAAAACCATTAAAGAAAATTCAAGCGATAATAGTGTTGTTATATTGAAAGAAAAGAAATCAAAGGATGAAATTCAGTCATTAAAAGAGATTTCCACAAAGAATAATGAGCAGAAAAGCAAAAAATCTAAAGATTTTGCAAAAAGAAAAACTGAAATAAGTATTGATAATAGTGACGATGATTCGCAGAATATTGTTGAAAAACCTAAAAAGAAAAGAAAAATTGAGAATGGATCGCGTTCAGAAGCTTCTATTTCTCAAGATATTGTCGTGATCGAATCGATTAATGATGAAAAAGAAACAGAAGAAGCTGAGGTTCCCGAAAATTTGCGATTCTCTTCTTATCGACTATCTCAGACTACCATTGAATCTCTTAAGAAGCGTGGGGTGACTGCCTTGTTTCCCATTCAAGCAGCGACATTTGATTATATATTTGATGGAAAAGATGTTTTGGCCAGAGCAAAGGTATGATATTCGTATTATTTGAACTCACTAATTAATTTTAAATCGATTTTGTCTTAAAGGTCAGTAAATATCAATTTTTAGACAGGAACAGGCAAAACTTTGGCATTTGCACTCCCAATCACCGAGCGACTCATAAATAGTTCAGATTTTGTGCAAGTACGAAATCGTAGAGGCCGTGCACCTCAAGTAGTTGTAATGACACCAACACGTGATCTGGCTAAACAAGTTGCCACAGAGTTTGGATCAATCGCATCCTCTCTGACTGTTTCGTGTATATATGGAGGTGTGCCATATGCAGATCAGTATCGTGAATTACGAGATGGAATTGATGTGCTCGTTGGGACTCCAGGCCGAGTAATGGATCATATTGATCGTGGTAATCTGAATTTGGCTGATATAAAGTTTATTTGTTTGGATGAGGCAGATCAAATGCTCGATATTGGTTTCGCGGAAGCTATGGAAAAAGTGTTGCAACATGTCAAAGAACATAAAGAAAATAAAGGCAAAGATGATGATTATCAGACTATGTTGTTCTCTGCCACTGTGCCTGATTGGGTGAAAGAAACCGTAAAGAAATATTTAAAAGAGGATTATCTTAATATTGACCTGATTGGAAAAATGGATAACAAGACTAATGGTATTATTTTTAATTATTTCATTGTATTTCTTTTGAGCATAATTATTATCGAGTTAATTTTATTTCGATATCTTTAATTTTCGCTTATAGAAAATATTTGTCATTATGCTATACGTTCTGCTTGGCATTCCAGAAAGGACATTATCGGAGATGTAGTCGCAACTTATGGTGGTTCTGGATCTTGTGTAATCTTTTGCAATACAAAAAATGATGCGAATGGTATAATTTTTTCTTTTTATTAATTTCGTAGTAATCTATCATCAAAAACACAAATTTTTAATATAAGCATCTCGAATCAACAGAACTTGTACTTAACGATAAATTAAAACAAGATGCCCAAGTACTACATGGAGATATAGCACAATCACAACGTGAAATCACAATGAAAGGATTTAGAGAAGGCAAATTTAAATGTATCATTTGTACCGATGTACTTGCTAGAGGAATTGATATTCCCCAAGTCGGTTAGTATATTTTTAATTATTATATAATTGTGTAGTTTTTTTTGCGGTTTATGCTAATTGTCACTCGTCAAACAATAATAGATTTAGTAATCAACTGTGAACCACCAAAGGATGTGGAATCTTATGTTCACCGTTCGGGAAGAACTGGTCGAGCTGGACGTCCTGGAACAGCAGTCACATTTTTCAAATCTCAAGAAGAATATCTAATAAACAATATTCAACGAAGAAGCAGAATTCAATTTTCTATCGTTGGCCCTCCACAACCAGCTGATATAGTTGCTGCAACAGCTCAGGATGCAGTTCAAAACGTGGAATCGGTAAACCCGAGTATATTGCCATATTTCCATGCTACTGCACAATTACTGATCGATAATAAGGGTGCTGTTGAAGCATTAAGTGCAGCATTAGCTTACATGACCGGATATAGCAGTGGAATTAAGACAAGATCTTTATTATCGGGTAATGAGGGTTGCAACACGTTGTTATTTCGTTTCAGTTATCCAGTCCGACATGTTAGCTACGCAAGAAATATTCTAGAAAGGAGCTTTCCTAATCTGAAATCTGATGACGTAAAAATGATGAGATTGACTAAAGACGGATTAGGAATTGCGATAGATGTTTCATCTGAAAAAGTGGAAATAGGAATTGGAGAAGGCGATGACTTAATATTAGCAGGTACAAAATGGCAGAATACAAGTAGTACAACTTTGGAAGTGTGTAAAGAATTACCAGAACTGTTGGATCGTGATTATAGTAATAATTATAATGGTAATAATAACGGAAATGGTAACAATTATCGTGCAAATGGTGGTGGGAGAGGTAGTAGATATGGTGCTGGTAATGGTGGAAAAAACAATTATGGTAATGGAAAACGTGCGGGTGGTCGAGGAAATGGTTATTCGCGTGGGGGTGGTAGAGGAGCGTATAGATCATCACAGTAGAGTTTCCGATATAAAAGTTCAAAAGCATTGTAATTTCGTAATAATAGTTATAATAGAATATTTTAATGTATGACGAAATAAATTTTTAATGTTCTAGAACATAACCCGGTAAGATCAGCCTAAATTTTGCTTCTCGTTCTATTGTTATGATTCCCTTACTAGGTGTAAGTCTAAAAGACTATAAAACTGTAAAGGTAACAAAAAATAGTAGATAATTATCCTTGGAAAAGAATTTTACATTATAAATAAAAATCATTGCTTAAAAACTAGGTTGCGTTAACAAAATTCTACGGTATCGGAATGAATGTTTCCGCCAAAGTATGTGCACAACTAAGCATCCACGACAAATGTAAAATGCAAGAATTGTCCGAAAACCAACTTAACCAACTTTCTGCAGTATTGTCTGATATGATATTAGGCGCGGACTTGAAACGACAAATAAAGAGTAATATTATGCATCATCGACAAATTGGGTCGTATAAGGGTAAACGACATGCTATGAGTTATCCGGTTCGTGGACAACGTACACAGACTAATGCCAAGACGGCAAAACGGTTGAATGCTAGATTTATTAATGCAAAATGAGATAATTCTTTTTTGTTTTAATTTAAGGTATTAAAACGAGTTTATTTTTGATTATATACTCTCTTCTGCTGCGATTCACATTTATAAATCGAAATAATTACATCTCAAGTTTTACTGAAGTCCAAATATTTACATATTTTTTTCTAGACTAAAAAATGTTTTTTGCGGGAAATAATTTTCATGAAATGTCAATTCGATAAATTTCTTTTACTAGTTACTTTTGTGATGAGATAAAAATTAGAATAGTTACTGTGAAGCACTGCGAACACATTGATGTTTGAAGAACATTTTTCGTTCTTCAATCACTTCCCCGCCTATAGAAATATATTTTTGTTGACAACAGTGATTGTTTCAAGTTCTGATTTTTTTTGTCTCTGAGGGTTGTGTGCAGGAATTCAAGCACTTGCATGGCATAATTATTTGACACGTACTAACAAATCTTGTTCATAAGACAATTAATCTTATAAGACACAATTATATCTGTTTGTATTGTTATCACGCGAAAGGCTGAAAGAAATGGATTTAAGGTAGTGGAAGTCTAACAATTATAGCCATTCAGATAAAAAATTGGAAATAGTATTATACAATTGGATTTTAGTTATTTCATGATAATTGAAAAATCTGAATCTATTTTTGTTGGTATCATTGCAAATTTCGACTGGTTTCCGGTTTGGTCTCATCAATGTTGGTTAGGATTAGTGAGAGTTCCCTGGTGAACATCCAGTTTTTCCGTTTTGTTGGTTTTGTCGTGCCTGGATCCAGTTTCGTTTAGCGGGTTTCTTGGTAAGTATTTGATGCTTTTTGTTGATTTTTGGATGAAATGTGAGTTTTTGGATGGAATAGGAGTAATGGAACATTGATTTTTCTGTTATTTCAATTTGATTGAATCCGCCAGGGTGATCACCACATTTGCGCGTCACGTGATAATTCTTTGATGACGTCAACGATGCGAAAGGGTTAGGATCTGAATCTGGATCAAGATTATTTGGCAAATAGAAATATATTTATTATCATTATATTAAGTTCTGTCACGAGAGTACATGTGATAGAGTCAGGTGGAAGGGTTGATGTATTAAATAACTTTAAGTTGGAAGAGTTTACTAAGTTATCTAAAGGTAGGTAATGTATGTTCATTTTGTTGGTCAGCTAGAATGAAACCAGAAAGATTCAAAGGTAATTGTGTATCTTTTATAATTTAATTTATAATAAATCAAATGTTTCTTTTAAGTTTGGTTTATAAACAAGTAAGATGTAATTTTCTTTTATTAATTCAATACTATTATTGACTTTGCAATATAGATGAGAGGTCAAATATAAAATTGTATAAGATAATATAACTTCGCAGTAGTGATGAGAGGTTATAAAACAAATACAAGAATAACTTCGCAATTAAGACGAGAGATTATGAAAATATTATCTAAAGGATTATTAAAAGAATATAAAATTAAAAACTCATTTTTTTTCTAAGCTAATATATAAATTGTATTTATACATAAGTATTTGATAATTATAAAATGATTATTTGGAATGATTATTCAAAATGTTTGAAATGATCATTTGTAATGATCATTTGCAATGATCATTTGGAGTGCTTGAGATGATCAGTTGGAATGATTATTCAGAATGATCATTCAAAGTGATCATGTGAAGTGATCATGTGAGATGATCATGTGAAGCGATCATGTAAGATAATCATTTGTAATTATGAAAATATCTAATCACAACAATAGTGCTTCAAGTTATATTTAGATATTTGTTTTTTGTATTTTTTCATTTTGTTTTGCTGATCAAAAATCTGCTATATTTTTATAATTAGCATATAAAAATACTTTTTGTTGTAATTAAAAGCTGGAATTAATAAAAATTAATTAAGATCAAGTATAATTATTATCACATAACAATCACTTTTTTTTTGTCATGACTAGAATATTATTGTAAATCACATATATATTAGCTATCCAATAGAAATATTTTTTAAATAACATGATACATCTTATATCAAATACTAAAATGTCACATGATAACAATATGATATTTCAATAAGTTTTTAGGTAGTTTCTATAATTCTTGTTCTAAGCATAACAAAAAGTTTATATTATCATGATATGATATTTAATAAACAATCTTATTGGATAAGATTTATATTAATTATTATTGGATTATATTTATTAATATTTTATTGAATAAGTTATTTTTAGATAGTTATTATTTTATTGGACAATTATATGTTAGATATTATTGGTTCTTAAGTTTGTGTTAACAT